CCTGATCGCGGAACCCTCGGAATCTTCCCCTTTCATGCCGCGGCCCTTGATCGCGGAACCCTCGGAATCTTCCCCTTTCGTGCCGCGGCCCTTGATCGCGGAACCCTCGGAATCTTCCCCTTTCGTGCCGCGGCCCGGATTGTGGAACCCACGTGCAGCGGCCCGGATCGCGGAACTCTCAGAATCCTCCCCTTTTGCCCTTTCATGGCGCGGTACCTTAGCGGGGTAGTGTGGAACCTTCCTAACTCTCCCCTTCCCCAGAGCCCTCGCTGGCTTGGCACTGTCACGTGGCTCACGCGGATCCCTCCAAACCCTCCCCTTGCAGGGAGCCCTTGCTAGCGCGGCGCGGTACTGGCGCGTGGCTCGTGCGGAACGCTCCGAATACTCCCCTTTTATGGAGCCCTTGTTGGGGAGGCATCCTCCCACGGCTTGGATCACGCGGAACCCTCTAAACTCTCCCTTTGCATGGAGTCCGCGCTGGCGTGCCGGGACCCCACCCTCCACCCCCTTGCGTGGCACCCTCGCGGCACGGAATCCACGGAACCGCACCCTCGTGCAACCTGGATAGCGTGCTGAACCCTCCAATTGTGCTGAACCCTCGCTTGGCCAGGATTGCGGAAACGCGGGAACCCTCCCTTTCCACAGACTGGCCTGGCCGAGCGGCCTGGCGGAGTAGCGGCCTTGTGGCGCAGAACGCTGAACTCTCGCGCGCAGCCCTCGTGCGGTAGGGAGCAAGGAACCCTCTCGCGGTGGGGAACCCTCATGCAGTAGAGAACCCTCATGCTGCCCGGAACCCTCACAGAGTGCGTGGCGCGGCACCCTGGAGTAGTGGGGTACCTTCGTGTGGTCCGGAAGGCTGGCTGAATGCTGGCCGCTGGAACACTGGATCGCGCAGAATTCCTCCCCCTCGGCTACGTGGCGCGGCACTCGCGCATTGCAGCACAGCTGCCGCGTGAGGCGTGGAACTCCAGCTCACCTCGGCCTCTCACAGCGTCTGCGTGGTGACTGGCAGTGCTGTGCTTCCTGCTGCCCGTTAGAGCCAGGAGGGATAGATATAATGTTGGAGCCTCGGCAGGGGGTGGAGATTATTAAGTTCCGCCCCAACTATGTCACTTAATCCCCCTCTGCTTAGCCCCACCTCACCGGGCTCCTCCTCTTGCTCCAGCCTGGAGTCTGTGCTTTTGATGGCCCTACAGCCTTAGAACCGTTTCTATAAATTGCCTGCTAAGCCAGTCAGGAAAGATTTAGGGAAAGGCCAGAAAGATATTTTAGAATTTTAAACGGACTTTAGGAGTAGGTATTCTGGTTATATGTGGTTTGTTTGTTTTGTTTTTTGAGCTATGATCTGATTATGTAGCCCTTGCTTGCCTCGAACTCACAGAGATCCACCTTCCTCAGTCTGGTATGCAAAGTGTGTGCAGCCACACCCTGTGTAGGTTTCTTCCACCACTAAGCCAGGCCAACAAAAAGAACAGTTTTCCACGAGATAAGAAGGCTGCTCTGTTGAATATGACTCAGTAGCTAGTATGGGTTCAAACTTTGAGAGTCTTACAGTTCATTTTGGGGACATTTAAGAAAAGCACAATTGGAAAAAAAAAATTCCCTGGTTTTAATTAACTCAATCCCATGTGCACAACAAATCTTTAGCCATGACTACATTATTGAAACTCTTGTGAAGTACAAGTGATGTCTTCCATAGAGATAGTTTCTATAGATTAACTAAGGAGGCAGGCTCATGGTAAGGGTCTGGGGGAGCTGGTGTTGCCATACAGATAGCACAGAGGTCACCAGGCTATTAACTACCTCTGCTTCCAGCCTTCTGGGATGGAAACAAGTTATGCACCTCTCCCTTTGAAGAGATAATTGTGAGTGTTTAACATTCCTGGCTTGCCTAGTGCTTATCAGTGAACAGAAGGACCTATCTTCCATTTTGTGTGTTCATTGTATGTTCATCTTTTTCTTCTCTAAATAGGTGACTCAGTTTTGAAAAGTTCAACTAGATCACTCCTGGAATTCAACACCACTACTGGCTGCCAGCTTTCAGATTCACAGCACAGAATCCAAACTAGCATTACATTTCTGTGTGGGAAGACCCTGGTGAGTAGGGCCTCCGAAAGCTCCTTTTGAGAGCATTCTCCCCTTCTGGTGTGCTTGTTAGAGAAATCTTGATCCTGGAGGACTAAATGGCCAAAATGAACACACACACACATACAGACACACACTTCACATTCTTATCACATCACTGTCTAGAACTACTAAGTAAGCAAATCTTAAACATGGTTAGAATTGAAGTGAAACTTGAGTTAGGATGAATGTTAATTTTGGATCAACCTATAACTGCTGTTGTACAAATTGAGATCTTAAAAATCTGTTTGTGGCAGCATGAATCATGAAGGTCATGTTGCAGAGTAAACAAGCTGCTGATTTACTTTTATTGATTGTTCTTAAGAGTTTGGTGTCACTCTGTGAGAAACAGGACTTGAAGGGGAACATGTCAGCTTTGTTCATGACTTGGGGAAGGTAGAAGTTAATTATTGCTGCTCAGGGCTTATCCAGTGTTAACTGATCTGGAGTCGGCTCTGGTTGCCAGAAGGGGCTGCCTGGGGGCGGGATCTGGTGAGTCTACCCAGGCTCAGATGCTCAGGGGCTCCTCAGGGACCTCCTCACAGGATGTATGAAGTCATACTATCTGGCTTTGAAATTGCTGTTTTTTGGTTCAGAGAACATTTGGCTCTTGAGAAGAAGACGAAGGATAATTTCCCATGAGTTTACTCTGCTTGTAGAATCGGGGCAGCTGGGCAGTCAGTAGACAGGATGTCTGGAGACTCTCGGCTCCCAGCTTCTCCATTTGGGGGAATTCTTGCTAACCTTGTTGAAATAAAGCAGTTGTGCTTCCTTGTGTTGCACCCTATTTTTACTAGATTTTACAGCTTTTTAAGTTGGAAAACAAACTTGTATTTTTTAATAGTAACATTCTTCCTCCCCCCCCCCTTTTTTTGTTTTAAATAGGGAACTCCTGAATTTGTTACTGCCACAGACTGTGTACATTACTTTGAATGGAGGACTACTGCAGCCTGCAAGAAAGACATATTTAAAGCTGATAAGGAGGTAATGGAGTTTGAGACTATTGGTCATGAAATCTACTCTGGAGAGCTTGAGAGATAGAAAGGGTGTAGATTCTGATGGAGAGGAGGGGGAGAGGATTTGGGGAGGAGAAACCATATCAAAATGTATCAGGGGGAAAAAAAATCTATTTTCAGTAAAAGAAAAAAGGAAGAAAGAAACCTCGTAGAAGGTTGTGACTGCGAGGGAAAGATTTGAAGTACTTAGTACAGTCTCTTGGGGTGAAACTCTATTTCTGTGAATGTCAGCTTTGGTTTTCACAGGGATAACAATAGATTTAATTGTCAAAAACTTCTTCCATGCCGGCTTCTGGTGGTACACAGTATATAGCAAAGTCAGGCTTGCCTTATGTTTTGTCCTGTACCCCTGGGGCCCTCAGCTTCCTCTGTCCCTGCTCCCTACCCATGTAATATCTCACTTTGATGATTCTTTTTCTGCCTGTTTTCATCGCCAAAGTCTCATGTAGCCCATGAGACTAGTCTCAGGCTAGACCCAGGCTTGGTATGTGGCTGAGGATGACCTGAAACTTCTAGTCCATCTGCCTTCATGGGGTGATTAAGTCATGATTGTCTCCTTGATAGCTTTGGAATTACCATGGAAATAAACCTATGGGTATGTGTCAGGGTTTCTAGATTAGATTAGTTGAGGTGGAGAAACAAATCTGAATGTGTGTGGCACCATTCCATGGGCTTGGGGTCCTGGAATGAGCAGAAAACAGAAAGCAAGCATTCGTCTTTATCTGCTTCCTTGTTGTAGATTAAATGTGACAGTGGCCTCACACTCCTGTCTATCCTGTACCATGATGAGCTGTGCTCTGAATCAGAGGGCCAGAATGAATTCCTCCTTTCTTAAGTTGCTTCAGAGATGAGAAAAGGAACTAAAATACTCTACCTCCCTGAGTGTTGTGAGCTACTGTGCCTGGCTGTGTTCTAATTTTAGAGCTATCTTCTCAGCCAGGGGGTGGCTGACCCAAATGGTGCCTTTTAAACTAATGCTTTATCCAGTAGGTTCTGGTAGAGGTTTTAAGACAATTATTTCTTTAAGGCATTGTGTCTCTGCATCCCTTATCCTAGCACCTGGGGAGACATATAAATTGCAGAGATGGCAGGTTGATAGTCTGGCTAAAGTTATGAAAATGAGGTGAATAGACACGAAACAACACCATCCACATTAAGTCAGCGTGTGGTGCTGAGTCTAGAAAATCATCTCCTTCCCAGGCTGCATGACTGATGGTGTGTATTAGCATGTCTCCATCACTCCACAGTATAGTAATGGTAGGACACGTTCCCCAGTGATCTTCTGATTTTCTGGCCATGCTCCAGTTCTTGGGAGCACTATTAGCATGTCTTCTCTGCCCTGGAAAGAAGTGGAGTGATAGCTAGCTTCCATGATGGGGCCCTGGAGAGCATCTTGAATAGAACTCTCCCAAGACTCCTGGGGACAGGGTTTTCCCAGCCCGGCCCCTGCCTTCTGTTCTTGCCATTGCCATCTTCTTTCCTTCTGCCAGTGGCTTCCTTTTGCCTGGCTGGAGTCTGCTGCTTGTTTCCCATCCTCACTGCCGATGGCTTGATGCCCTCTGAGTGACTATTTCTGTGTGCTCTTGCTTATGTGGTGACACTGATTTGTGGGATTTGGAATACTTAAGTTTGCTGTTCTTTCTAGCTTTTTGAAACGGTCTGGAACTCATTACATAGCCTAGCTGTCCTTAAGTGTGCAGGACTTCTGAGTGTAGGATTACTCAGCACCTTGGAATGCTGTCTTCAACTGGAGTTCCCCTCTGCCTGCTCCTTCTTGTCACAGGTTACTCCACCGCCAACCCCCACACCTTTATCAGAGAGAATTAACAGGAATCCTGGGTCTGAGAAACAAGGCAGGTA